ATGGGTTATACAAGTAATGAGATGGCGTTGACCATGTAACATGGAGGGAGACAATCAGGAAGGGAAAGAACGAACAAACCAAATTTATTATCAAAGAGTTAAAATTAGGCACGCAGGCCTGTCTGACATTCGACCCTTCTAAGCACTCATCTTTCAGAGTACCAGTGCCTGTTATAAATAATGCATGTTATGTTTATAATAATAATAAAAAAAATTATAGAATAATGCATACACACATCACGAAAACACAATCATACACACTCAAACACACGCAGTTTCCGGGACCTCTGCACGGGTGATCCTCATCCGCATGGTGGAACTTTGTGTCATCAGGTGTTTATCACTTGTGTGATGTCCTAGTGCGGTAAAATGTACAACTGCTAAAACATACATACAAACACACTCATATACAGACATATAGGAATAGGGGTAAAGGAGAAAATGACTACAGATAGGTTAAAAGCTGAGCATCTGAGAAGAAGCATGTTGCTTACATACAGTGGCAACCGTGGTTCTACAATCCTGTGCTCTGACTGTGGAATACTTTTCTTAATGCGAGTGGGCCTCATTTATCACAATTGCCATGGGCTATGATTTCCTGCCTTCCTATAAGACAGTCAAATACTATCATCTGGAAGAACGGAAGGAAGCTATTGTCCTAGCAGTAACAATTTGTAACAGTATCTCCTTTTAGGAACAGTAGTTTTTTTTTTTTTACATATTTCCCTGTGAGATCACTGTAAAAAAATAATGTTTAATGTTTTGTTCACTTTAAACAAGTAATGTTTAACATTTTTTTATATGTAAACAAGTAATTTTTACATTTTTTAAAAAATCACTTTACTTCTACTTCTGACAATATTTACCTGACGTGACCGTCATAAACAAAATATTTTAAACAATGTCCACCTCTAGATTAAAATGTTTCTTTCTGGTCTCTGGATCCGATTTCTGGCCTTCTTAGTTAAAGGTAAAATGTTAACCATGTTACAAATCTCAGGAGTTGGTAATTGTGAATAGGCTGAAGTGGCCACTGGGTGACAATGTGGAAAAACTATAAACTAACAGACTATTACAGGAAGTGGGAAGCTGAGGGAAGGCAGTCTCCAAAATGATATAGTTACGTTGTAGTACCCACCTCCCCCCAAAAAAAAACACCTAGTTATGCTGCTTAGCTGAAGACACAATCAGCCTGTCTTTCATAGAATAAATGAGAAAGAAAAAAAAATAACTTTTGCTCTTGTCCTATTCAAGTGGTTTTAACTTATATCCTTTTTTTCTTTAACAACTAGACAACTTGTCAGACATGTTTGTCACATTGATTCTGTAGAAGCTCACTAGTAACGTTTCAGTTGTCCATTTTCAGTGGTATGTCTGAAGCTGATGGCAAATCTGTGGAGAAGAAAGTCAAACAGGAATCCATCTCTGAACATCTCACAGTAGACAGAAAGAAAAGGAAAGATAGATTTAACGGCATGCCCGAGGAAGAGGTGCTGCAGAAGCTTTTACCTGACCATGTGGCTCCCAACTTAGATATTCTTATAGTAAGTTTTTTTCTTTTGTATAGTTAGTTGACAGATCATCCTGAATGCACATCCAAGCATTCAGAAAATAAATGGTCAGATTCCCTCCTCAGTAAATCATGTAGCTGCTGTTGACACAAGTTCTGTGTTGGTTTACTGTTCTTCTTTGGTTTCCTGCACAGTGCTCTTGTCTGAATTCACCCCTTTCCACTTGCTGATCCAGCAGTGCCATCATGGTTGGAGTTTCACACTCATCAACTGATTCACGTAACATGCCTTACTTCTTGCAGAGCACTCTGTGCACCACCTTGGCTCAGTGCTCATCCACCCTCATAGAAAATCTACAGACAAGGTCATCAGGTTGTTCAAACATCTGCAAAAGGACCATCAGCTTGTTCTTTTCCTCTTGCACCTGCATGACCTGACACAAAATAAAACTGATCTTTAGCAGCTGTGATCGATCACCTTATAGAGTGAAGTGCAGTAAGGGACCCTTTTTCCTGCCTTCAAGCTTTTTGAGCATTTAGGGCTAGACCTATACTTTATAGTTGAATAATGTGGTCAGCATCACACAACTGCCTTTACTTCCCAGGACTTGTATCTGAAATCCATTTAAGGCTGAGTCAACCTGGGAGCAAAGGTCAGCTTGGATTTGAACCCCAAGACTTTCAGATCCACAGCCGAGTGTCTGCTGCTACACCGCAGCGGCTCCCTGACGACCTTATAAAACTGTAGCTTTCATTAGTTTTCCTGAGTGATTTCACTCACAAGTTTAGGGGAAAGTTAAGGCCATTATGTCCTGTATAAAGGGATATTCTATATTTACCTTCAATGTGCTGATTGGTCTATTGTTGTTTTTGTTATCAATCCAGCGGCGTATGAGCTTTCACCCATTGGCCCAATGCCATGTAGTGGACTTTGCATGTTTTCATGAGCTGTTCTTTTCCTCGGTACAAGGTGTTCCACTTGTCTAGTCTTGAAGGGAGTAGCATTCTTCTCGTTTCGCTGAGTTTTGGGCACTCAAAGAGATGGGTGTTCAACAGTTTAGTAAGAGTAGTTACACAGCTGGCACTCTAAGAAGTGTTGTGGCTGTATTCTGTTTAGATGTCCAATGAGTGGAGTATATTGTGTTCTGAGTCTGAAGATGGTGGCCTGGTCCCTTCTTGTTAGATGGATAATGCTGTCATTAGGATCAGGGCCAGCCATATGTCTATAAACCTCTCTTCCAGTGTCTCCCATGGCCCATCTGTTCAAAAAAGTCTCTTTGTTTATAGCTCTTATAAGTGTTTTTGCTGTCTGTAGGGTTGTCGCTGTAGGTAGTTGTTCTTGTGTTGCTCCTTTCTTTGCCAGTCTGTCAGCTCTGTCATTACCTGGTGTGCCGGAGTGGCCTGGAATCCACTGCATCACAATTCTGATGTTATATGAGGTAATGAGCTGATCAGCATCCAGAATTATCTTGCAATGTCAGTTCTGTAGCGTTCAATGCCCTCAAAAGCTTGAAGAGCAGACATTGAATCGGTAAATATGACAATATTTTGGGCGTTTGATGGGTAAACATCCATTACAGTCTTTAGGTGGTATACTGCTGTTTCCAGTGCAATTATTTCGGCTTAATAATTTGAACAAAATTGCCCGCTTGCGTCAAAAATCTCTTCCAACAGATCCATCAGGGTAACCTATGTAGATTCCGTAACATGCTTTTATGGTAGCTTTAAATGTTGATTCATCAGTATAAACATGTATCCATTCTTGGGGTAAGAATTAATGGTCTTTAGTGATGAGTTCATAAGTGCGATTGGGTCGGACTGGTTGGTTTCTTCGTCTACCAATTTCATTTGGACCTCTGGAGCTTTTAAAAGAGCACATCGTGGTAGGTTTCTTGCAACATTCTGGATGCCTTGACTTCTATTTGAGAGGTGGTTTCTGGCCTGTATTTCACGTACACAGTGTAAAACCGATTTGTGCTTTATTCTTTGATTGTATTTCTAGTTTTCTACAAGGTGTCTGTTTGGATGGGTATGATTCATTCTAATGCATCTTTCATAAATTTCTATGATTGGTCTATAAAATATAGATCTAGTAATATATACACGTCCTTGAGAAAGAAGACTTGCTACACGATGATGATGACTATATACCCAGGACACCTAAAGTGTGAAAAACTGTCCTTTCTGATACTTTTATGGCAGCTGACTCTTTCTTGATTTTCCAAGAATCTATGCCTGACTTCAACCATCCAATCTTGTCATACACCACAGAGAAATGGCTGTTACAAGTCTAAACTAAACTGGCAGAGGCTGTTAAGGTTACAGTACAGAAGGAAGATCAAGAAACAGATTAATCACCACCTCAACAATGTAGGCTTACATTAGCCATGTCAGTACATTTGGCACTTGGATATATAATGCAACTACCAATAACACTGGCAAGGTCTGAATCAGTACAGAGAACATAACATAGAAGTAACTTATTATCATCATCCTGTTGTGCCTTTATTTGTCACATTATGTGACATAGGGCATTAAGTCTGTTCCTCCATTAAATTCTATCCTGCGCAGTCAGTTTGATATCATGGATGGAATCCACTTCAGCACCTTTGTTCTTTCTTAACAGCAATTCATTCTACGGATTCTTTTGAATGTCATTGTTTCCTTAGTCCCTTTATTTTACATTTCAGTGTCAGTTTGGTGATTCTTTGCTCGTTTCTTCTCTGTGTGTGTCCATTACAGTTCCATCTTTTTTTGTCTTGTAGTTGTTGTTGCCAGTGGTTGCCCAGGTATAGAAGTAACTGTACAGAAAATAAACTGACCAGAAAGCTCAACAGAGGGAAAGGATTAGACCTGCACAGGTACAACAGTTTCCATCAATCTTTCACAGTAGAAAAAAAAAACCAGCTGACTAATTAGCCAGCTGACAAGGTCAGTATGGCACTGAAAATATGTTGGAAAAATATGTATAGAAAGAGCGGGATACTCAACCACACATGGTGCTGCACCAGGGCAAGACCTATGTACGACGGGGTCATCCTAGAAACGGATTCCCAACCGGGAGCCTGGTCAGTTCAGATAGGATCGATGTTTATTAGTCTCATTGCACCAACACTCTTTACATAAAAGAAAAAAAAACCAGATCTGTAAAATTGACACTCAACTCTTGAACTACTGAAACAAAATTAAACTCCAGAAGTGGGCTATAGCCAGGACTTTCCACCGGAGTTTACAGCTGGGAAAGCAGAGAAGAAGAAGAAAGAGAAAGGAAAAGTGATTATGAAATGATAACTGGACACCAAGCAGTTTGTTTATATTGATTTATTCATTAAATGTAGGGTTTCCCAACATTCCCCGTACCAGTTGCTGCAGTAGAGGATTATAAATTATAAACACAGCGTGTTTAATCGGAGGGGAAGGGTTGGGGAGGTCAAAATGGATGAAGAAAAAGAAAATGATATTAAAATACCTCAGCTGTTTGCTTTTACAGATTGGGATTAATCCAGGCCTGTTTGCTGCTTATGTAGGTCACCATTATGCGGGTCCAGGAAACCATTTCTGTAAGTTGTATGTGAAATGTTATGTGGAATCTGTTCTGCTGTATGACAGGATATTGGTTATGTGAATGGATAAAAGAATTATTTGTTACTTACTGAATAGGCAATTATTGGCAGAAGCTGTAGCAGTAAAATTTGGACATTGTGTAAACAAAAGGATCACATGATGAAACTTAGATTTACCTGAGTTTGGTTAGTCTTACACTTCCATTGGTGAGATGTACAGCAAAAAAAAAAAGAACACAACTTTGTGATTTGTGTATTTTAGCTGAAAGGATTTCATTTTTTGTGTGCTACCTTATATGTTGATGCCATGAAGTTTGTTTAAAGCAAAAATTGATTTATTGATAAACAATGAAAACAGTTATGGGTAATGTGCCTATCATTATTCTGAGTTCTTTGTTGGTGACTGTTTGTTCTTGTTTCTCCGGCCACATTTCTTATATGTCTCATCTGTTTAAATTCAGTATGGAGAAAACATTGTTTTCACTATTAAATTAGAAAGATTTTGAAATTGGCAGAGATCTTGTTTTTGAGGGGGGTGTGAATACCTTGGACAGGAAGAGTAAAATAATAATTGTCTAAAGAAAAAATAGCTAATGAAGTTAGAAGAGTATATTTACTAATAAATAATGAATACAAATCACTGGTCCTGTGTTGAAAGGAGAGATATTTGAGAATGTTGTGATAGAAAACTTCAGCTTTAAAAGATCATCATCATATGCCCTGCTTGCTTGCTTGCTTGAAAAAGAAAAAGAATAATTTGATCACGTTCAGGCATTTTTAGCTGTAGAGCTGATACCTATGTTTGTGATCTTTATTAAGTTTGAATTGTTTGAATATGGTTTCCTTCAGTTCCATTTGGTTATGTTGTTCTAAACGGTTTGACTGATGTTGTTTCTCACTTGTATAAAGTTGTTCTATACCTGATGTTGTTGTATCTGGAGGCAAGGGTCTTCTATTTCTTAATTGTGTCTCTTTTTTTCGTTCTTGACTATGGTAGGACACATCTGTATATTGCATTTTAGTTCTGTCCTAACCGCTCGTCGTCTTGTGATTCTGTCCCTTGTTCTTTGGATCAGTTCCACCAATGATATCCCTCCATGCCACCGTGTTAGTCCATCCGTCATCATCTATCTTGGTCTGCCTCTTCCTCATCTTCCATTGATCTTCCCAGTCGTTAAAACATTCTCCATAGCTTCCCCCCTTATCACATGACCAAAGAACAGCACTTATCTTTTCCTTATAGTGGCATGTATTGATCTGCTTTTATTAGCTTTCTTCAAAAAATCCTTGTTAGTTACTCTGGCAGTCCAAGGGATTCTTAACATTCCATCTAAGAAACCACATCTACGTTGCCTCCAAGGCCTTTCTAATTTGTACATTCCCATTCCATGATTCACTACCATACAGCAATATATGTTCTATAGGTTCTATAAGCCTTAAGTGGGTGCGGGGTAAATGTCTGGCAAGTAAAGTAACCAGCGTGATGCTGACAGCATCATCCAACAGGTGCTGATCTTCTTCTTCTTCAGCGTTTCGAGCCCTAAAGGTTCATTGCTGCAGATATCACCCGCCTCCACTCATCTGTCTGGTTGGCCTGCTCTTTAAAGTTGGTGACACCAAGTGTTTGCAGGTCTGTCTGAACATATCTCTCCATCGTCTTGTTGGTCTGCCTTGTGGTCTACGACCATTCAACTTTCTTGTTTATACAGTTTTTAACCTTTCTGTCATTTGACATTCTCCCAGTATGCCCAAGTCATTTCAGGTACCGATAGGTCTGTAAAAAATATCTTTTCCCTATATGCCCAATAAACCTGAGGGTGTGAAAAAGGGTCTGTTAATTCCATTATTCAGTTGTTACTTTAGTATGCACCTGTCAAAATATTGTGAAATAGTCCGTCTAATTATGTTGTTCATGTCTTCTTTAATCAAACATTCATTTGACTGGTTTGTTTTAGGGAGGTGTATGTACTTGTCAGGTTTGATACCTGAACCAATGAGTGCATATGATGACTACAAGCTACTTAGTTTTGGAATCGGCTTCACAAATATCTGCGCTCGCACAACAAGAGGAAGTGCTGACTTAAAAAAGTAAGTTGGATGTATTATGTACAACTTGTTTCCTTGTTGTGAATTTATATTTCTTGTATTAACGATGTTGTGGTAAAAAGAAGAAAAAAGATCCACTTTCCACACTGTGAGTTGTATTTGGTAAATGGGGCTAGAATTTAGTACATACATAATCCCAGAGTGGGTTCTGAGACCCTGTTTTGAGGAAGGGGGGGGGGGGCGCAGGATGGACTATCCATCTATCTATCCATCTGTAACTATTCATCTATCTGTCTGTCTGTCTCTGTCTATCTATCTATCTATCTATCTGTCTGTCTGTCTGTCTGCCTGCCTGTCTGTCTGTCTGTCTGCCTGTCTGTCTGTCTGTCTGTCTATCTTGTTTGCTAGCACCGGCACCATTTTTATTCCATAAGGATGGACTAATGTCATCCCCACAACCCAACCCTGGTTATGCCTTATTGGCCAACCCCTCCCTCCCTCTTTAGACACTCAGTGTACGCTGTTGTGCCTGTTGGTGTCTACTCCGCCCATTTCGCAGACATACTGACCCTATTTTTCTTTCCTCGTTCGTGAGTTGGTGATATATATAGGCTAGTCCTAGTCATCGTCTTGAACGAAGTTTTTTCCGCCAGGGACACAGATGAGTATCCTTTATTTTGTACATTAGAGTCCTATGTAGTCACTTCATAGTTAGAGCATATTTGTGTATGTGTACTGTGTTGTCCTTTATGTGCTGATGAAGGCTAATCGCCGCAACGGCCTTTGTTTGTTTATTGTGATCGATTTTGTAAAGCTAACAAACTATTTGTTCTTTCTTACCAACCTTTTCTCTTCCCTATAATTTTCTACCATTTTAAAAATTGCCCCTTAACAAGCATGTAGTGATTATGATTGGCACTTTTCCATCTTTCCAAATAATAGTATTGCGCTATGAGGAGACGTGGACTCACGGCCCATGGTGATGGCAAGTGTGACTAGCAAGACCCGCCCGCATTAAGAAAAAGTCTTCCACAGTTATAGCATGAGATTTCAGGACCATTATTGGCATTAGTCAAGAGCGACTAATAAGGGTTTGCTGAAATCTCGAATGTGTTGGGCCAAAAGAGTGTTGAGTGTCAGCTAGATCTCCTGGTCACTGCTTGTTCCACCACATTCTCTTCAGACCTTGATGATCTACCCATGCCTCCATGCTGTTTACTCTCTCCCAAAGGCCCTACATTGTCTAACTTGTCATGCATCATTTTTCTACCACATTTTGCAGAACCAGCCAGTCTATCTGCCTGTTCATTTCTCAGCAAACTAGATTCCTCTTGAGAAAATATCCAAAGGATGCTAAATGTACATTAATACAGAAGGACAATAACAATACTGCCCATTGAGTGCTGGATCACCATTTAACTTTAATCTTCACATCTAACTCTTGTAGTCTTAAGTGTCATTTTAATTGTTTGTAGACCTTCAATCAAGAGGGGCCGCTGGGGCTTTCATTCGGGAGACCCAGGTTAAAATCCTTGGTAAAGTAATAGATTTTGTTTCTTTGGAGGCAAAAATAAAATCCTACCCTGCACAATCTGTGACCACTGCACTAGCCATGTTGCCCTATATCCTCCAACTCAGATCAGCCCCCACATCCCCAAACACTTTTTTTTAGGTTTTACATCCCTCTGTAAACTGGTAGAAAAAGGCAGAAATGACAGTTTCTTCAAACAATTGTTGTGAAGTCTTCAGCGTGTCAATTGAACTGTTTTGTCCTCAAACAGAAAATACTAGAGTATTTAAAGTGTCATTTTGAACTGTTTTGTTGTAAAGTGTTCAGAGTGTCGTTTGAACTGTTTTGTCCTCACACAGTAGTCTGTTGTAGAGTCTTTAAAATCATTGTAACTGTTTGACAAAAGGATTTGGTATAGTGTAGATGACTGTCAGTTGTTTGATTTTACTAGACAGGAAATCAGAGATGGTGCTGAGATCTTGAAGAAAAAACTCTTGATGTATAGACCCAAGATAGCCGTCTTTAATGGGAAAGGTAAGTAGAATAAAAACTTAAAAGGAACATTTACATTTTTTATAGCTGTTTTTGGTATGTGATGTTCACCCACAATTTTTGGGGCAGTTAATGGGTGCTGTTGTCAGTGTGTTTCTGGTACTTTTTTGTTTTGTTTTTGGTAGGTTCGTCTGACTTGTTGTTAGCACCTCTCCGTCTTTCCAGATATTATTCCAGTATGTTATAGCGAGGCATGGGAATCAAGTCCATTGCAATGATGAATGTGACTAGCAAGACCAGTTCCCCTGTTAAAGAATTTGTCTACAATCCTTGTATGACATTTAGAACCATTGTTGTCCTCACACGGATTTAACACGTCCTCTCAGATGCTCAACTCTCAGCCTGTCTGAAGTTTTCCCCTCTTCCATGCAATGCGATCCGTGGCCAACTTGAGAGTCCGGAAAATTTAAAAAATCTATGGCCCAGCATGTATTTTTCTCCATATTCACCGGCTGTAAACTCAGGCAGAAGTTCTGGTTGTTCAACCTACTCCTGGTCTTTTGTCTTCTTCCAAAACATGAATTTTATCACTCATCTGTTAAGCGGATCTGCTTATTTGTATGCAGACTGTTGGTTCCTCCCATCTCAGGCACATGAGCTGCGACTTTTGAGGGAAATATCCCTAATTAATCACCCAGACAGTGAGGTCATGTTTCAAACTGCAGATAGATTTTCTATGGATTTTCAAGATGCAGATGGGTCCTCCAAGTTTACAACATTTGCCTGAGAAGAAAAGATACCCAGCCCAAATACGCCAGGACCGGGACAAGTATACCACATTTTTTTCTAGTTGTTAAAGAATTTGCTACTACCAGCATGATGCAGACTCGGTTTGCATGAGCAAGAGAAGGACTTTGTAACCTCTGCCTTTTGTTGTCTGTTTCAAATTGTATGCTGGTGTTCATGAATAATGTAAGAAGAAAACAAAGGACATTTCACCATATTGTTGCTACAGGCATATGATGCTGTAGACATATTTTCCCAGTGTAGTTCTGGGGCCCCATTTTGGGACACACTCAAAAGAATAGACCCACAGTCCTCCCAACAAGCTTGCTGTAAAAGTAGACTATTTAGGAGTGTTTCTTTCTAGAGTGCATTTGGCTGAGAGGTGAGGAACCAACAGTCTGCTTACAAATAAGCCAAATCTGTAAACTGGATGTGCACACAAAAAGTTCTGGAACAAGGCTATAGTCCAGAAAGTGATGAACCAGAACCTTCCTGAATAAGAAACAGAAAAAGATACACATCATATTTTTTTTATAGATTAGTCATTACTGTATGGGTGATGAGGTCAACTTTGTGCTTGCTACCTTTACTTCTCAGAATTTTTTTTTAAAACACTTCTTAAGCTAGGTCGCCCTGCTAGCAAACGTCATTTTGTAAAAGTTCACCATGATGAAAATTTTGAATTTTTTAGGAGTTTGAGTTTCTTATTTTCCTAAATTCTGCAGGTATTTTTGAAGTCTTCAGTGGAAGCAAAAATTTCAACATTGGTAAACAGCCTGATAAATTGGAAGGAACTGACACTGTGAGTAAAACCTGGCACACGGAGCAGTGACTCAGATTCTTATCACTAAGGCTTTGTTTATGATCAACATTAGATTAATTGTTTATTACAGAATGTCAGTCTCATCACAACTTTCTAGAAAGACTCCTGATCCATGCTATTTTCTCTGCTTCCCTCATTTTCGTATCGAATGTCCACCTTCTTGATGGTCTCTTCTCCTCCTCCTCCTCCTTCTCCTCCTCCTTCTTCTTTTCCTCCTCCTAGTCCTTCTTCTTCTTCCTCTTCTTTTCTTCTTCTGCCTTTTTTCTGTTTCTTTTGAATTCACCCTTAAAAAAGTAGTTGGTATTTTATATTGTGCTTTAAATTTAGGCTGCACTGTCTAAACCTTTACCTTAACACATATAGTTTCAGCAAACTCCTAAGGGCTAGGCAGGAGAGGCCTGATAGAATAGTGAGAGAGTCAAAGACAAGGCAAGAGAGGCCTGATAGAATAGTGAGAGAGTCAAAGACAAGGAATGAGAGACCTGATAGAATAGTGAGAGAGTCAAAGACAAGGCAAGAGAGACCTGATAGAATAGTGAGAGAGTCAAAGACAAGGAATGAGAGACCTGATAGAATAGTGAGAGATTCAAAGACAAGGAATGAGAGACCTGATAGAATAGTGAGAGAGTCAAAGACAAGGAATGAGAGACCTGATAGAATAGTGAGAGAGTCAAAGACAAGGCAAGAGAGACCTGACACAATAGTGAGACAGTCAAAAACAAGGCAAGAGAGACCTGATAGAATAGTGAGTCAAAGACAAGGTAAGAGAGGCCTGATAGAATAGTGAGAGAGTCAAAGACAAGGCAAGAGAGACCTGATAGAATAGCGAGAGAGTCAAAGACAAGGAATGAGAGACCTGATAGAATAGTGAGAGAGTCAAAGACAAGGAATGAGAGACCTGATAGAATAGTGAGAGAGTCAAAGACAAGGAATGAGAGACCTGATAGAATAGCGAGAGAGTCAAAGACAAGGAATGAGAGACCTGATAGAATAGTGAGAGAGTCAAAGACAAGGAATGAGAGACCTGATAGAATAGTGAGAGAGTCAAAGACAAGGAATGAGAGACCTGATAGAATAGTGAGAGAGTCAAAGACAAGGCAAGAGAGACCTGATAGAATAGTGAGAGAGTCAAAAACAACGCAAGAGAGACCTGATAGAATAGTGAGTCAAAGACAAGGTAAGAGAGGCCTGATAGAATAGTGAGAGAGTCAAAGACAAATTAAGAGAGGCCTGATAGAATAGTGAGAGAGTCAAAGACAAGGCAAGAGAGACCTGATAGAATAGTGAGAAAGTCAAAGACAAGGTAAGAGAGACCTGGTAGAATAGTGAGAGAGTCAAAGACAAGGCAAGAGAGGCCTGGTAGAATAGTGAGAGAGTCAAAGACAAGGTAAGAGAGACCTGGTAGAATAGTGAGAGAGTCAAAGACAAGGAAAGAGAGAGTCAAAGACAAGGCAAGAGAGGCCTGGTAGAATAGTGAGAGAGTCAAAGACTAGGTAAGAAAAACCTGATAGAATAGTGAGAGAGTCAAAGACAAGGCAAGAGAGGCCTGGTAGAATAGTGAGAGAGTCAAAGACAAGGCAAGAGAGACCTGATAGAATAGTGAGAGAGTCAAAGACTGGGTAAGAAAGACCTGATAGAATAGTGAGAGAGTCAACGACTAGACATGAGAGGCCTGGTAGAATAGTGAGAGTCAAGGATTAGGCAAGAGAGGCCTTGTAGAATAGTGAGAGAGTCAAAGACTAGGCAAGAGAGGCCTGGTAGAATAGTGAGATAATCAAAGACTAGGCAAGAGAGACCTGATAGAATAGTGAGAGAGTCAAAGACAAGGTAAGAGAGGCCTGATAGAATAGTGAGAGTTAACAGACTAGGGAAGAGAAGCCTGATAGAATAGAGAGAGTCAACAGACTAGGGAAGAGAAGCCTGATAGAATAGTGAGAGTCAACAGACCAAGGAAGAGAAGTCTGATAGAATAGTGAGAGTCAACAGACCAAGGAAGAGAAGTCTGATAGAATAGTGAGAGTCAACAGACCAAGGAAGAGAAGTCTGATAGAATAGTGAGAGTCAACAGACTAGGGAAGAGAAGCCTGATGGAATAGTGAGGGAGTCAAATACTAGGGAGGATACGCCTAATGGAATAAACAGTGAGGGAGTCAAATAGTAGAGAAGAGAGGCCTCATAGAATAGTGAGAGAATTAAATACTAGGGAAGAGAGGCCTGACAGAATATAGTGAGAGAAAGACTAGGGAAGGGAGGTCTGACAGAATATAGTGAGAGAAAGACTAGGGAAGGGAGGTCTGACAGAATATAGTGAGAGAAAGACTAGGGAAGGGAGGGCTGGTAAAATATAGGGAGAGAAAGACTAGAGAAGGGAGGTCTGATAGAATATAGTGAGAGAAAGACTAGGGAAGGGAGGCCTGGTAGAATAAAGTAAGAGAAAGACTAGGGAAAGGAGACCTAATAGAATGGGGAGAGAGTCAACAGACTAGGGAAGATAGGCCAGGGAGAATAGTGAGAGTCAAATACTAGGGAAGAGAGGCCTAATAGAATAATGAGAGTCAACAGACTAGGGAAGTTAGGCCTGGTAGAATGCATCCTGTTCCACATTACTTGCCTTGTCATATGAATTGTTAAATAACAGTGACATTTATATTGGAGCATCTCCTGTGTTTTACCGGGCCCATACAAGTAGCAGAGAATGGTGACATCAAACAACTTTGCATGTCATTGAGAGGTGACTAGGGAAGGCTGCCATGAGACTGGCTACATCCTACAGAAAACTTGAGCTGCACAATACTGCCAGTCCTAAAAAACACAAAAATGCACAATTACAACATTTGAGATGAGATGTAGAAGAAATCTGGTGGGAAAAACATGAAGAAACAGTCACACGGGAAGACCTAAGAAAAACAGTAGGTGGCGAACATCAAAGAATCAAAGTAGGTTGCGAACATCAAAGAATCAAAGTAGGTGGCGAACATCAAAGAATCAAAGTAGGTGGCGAACATCAAAGAATCAAAGTAGGTGGCGAACATCAAAGAATCAAAGTAGGTGGTGAACACCAAAGAATCAAATGGTTTGGTTATCTGATCATAATGGAACAAAAGCCAGCAGCAGGAGCATGCTACACGAGAACAGCAGGCTACAGAGTAAGAGGCTGACCAAGAAAGCAGGAAGTAAAAGAGATACCACAGAAACCAATTACGACATTAACCCAAACTACACAACTAGGAAAAGACAGGAAACTGCATCCAACTCCTGTCCGCGATGTGTTATGGCATAAGCCAATTGTGAACAGACCTACAGATGACTTGGGATGAGAGTTTGAAGGCTTATTCTCCACTGGGAAATAAAAGACAGAAGAGGCTAAAAGCAACAAATGCTATTGGATGCTGAAGGTATTTCAGACAGAGAAATGTTGGCACTTTTGTATCTTTCCATAGATATTGCACTTTTGTGCTACAGGGATGCATGGAAGTCACGATTCTCTCCCTTGCACAAAGCCTGAGGAAAGTACTTTAAAGTCCATATTCCCCATGCTCTCCACCTGCTGGACTACAAAGGAAAGCTAACACCATACATGTAGATGAGAAATAGTTTATACATCCTTGCTCTTTCCTCCTCCTCAGGTGTTGTTTGTGATGCCCTCATCCAGTGCCAGGTGCGCTCAGTTGCCTAGAGCTGTAGATAAAGTACCCTATTATCTTGCTTTGAAAAAACTGCGGGATCATCTACGAGGTGATCTTCCAACCCTTGATGACTCTGAAATTGTCTTCCCAGCTCTAGAACCAAAGTCAAAATCTGAAGTGAAAGATGATGGTTCTGATGATGATGAAGACTCTAGATTATCTTATGGAGATTCTTCAGCGAAGGATATGACTTTAGAACAGATTCAGAACCAGGCAGAATACCTTGAAGCTCTTATTGCTAGTGCTGAAGGGAAAGACATTCCAATGGAGAGCTGCAGTGGCAGAAATATGTTAAATAGAGTTGATAACAGTGTTGATACAGAAACATCCGGCTCCGGAGATGAAATGTCGCAAGTGTACACACCACAGATCCACGAATTAAAACCTAGAAGTGTTGCACAAACTGCCATCCAGTCATCTGCTGGTTCCACGCACACAATCCCTGGACTTGAAATCAAACGGGAGGTGCCGTATGAGGCAGGTGAGTACGACTCTGTGGCTGTCAATGGCCCTGCCGCTCAAAAGGTTAGTCTTGAAGATGAAGCCGACCCATATCAGTATCATTTATCTACTATGCCACAGTACATCAGTCTAGGAGATCTGCCCAACAAAGGAACTTCCACCAAGCCACCGTACACTGGCGTCAGGGCAAACAGTTTTCACCAACCATCTTTAGACACAGTGCAGCATTCATCCACCAGTTTTAACCAGCCTTCTTTTGCTCAAAGTCGAATTCCCTACCCTTCACAGGGCACAAAATTACATGCTCATAATGGGTCTAGTTTTCAGCACTACCACAGGAAAGGGGTAACAAGCAGTAAAGATCCTAAAGTGTCAAATTTCTTAAATATACAGTGAAGGTGGAAGCTTTAGCCATCGTTAGCTGACATCACATGTTACACACAGTAATTGATTATTCATTGCGTGCCAGCATTTATTAGGACACTTTAAGAAATTCTTAACATTTATATGTTGGTCTAAACGTTCAGTGTACATTTTGTGTTATTCTTCCTTACTACTTAATGACACTTTGGTCGTTGTAAAAGTGTATTTTTAGTGATTTGTGATAGTAATAGTGTTACGGGGAAAGTGCCATATGTATGAGTTGTGAGTTTTTTTGTTTTGTTTTTTTTTAATAGAAAAATTATAGGATTCTTATTCCTTCTTTTGTGAATACTGGATCAATGACAACAACTGTATTGGCATGACGCATTTCTTGTAGTTGAAACTGCCACCACGTGGTAAAATTATGTCGAACTAATATATATCATGAAGTAATGCACATCATTATTG